ATGAATGTTCTGGCACAAATAAGGCAGAAGAAATACGTAGATGGGGCCTTGCTTTTAGGACCATTACTTGCAACAAATATTCAGAGGGTGGGGACCTCCCTTTCCACATGGGGAGTAGGTGAGGCAGCAGGTGAGATTTATGTCCAAATAGACTGATCTTGAAACTGTTTTTTTTTTTTTTTTGTAATATGTGTATGGTTGCTGAAAAACTTGACTTCTGCTTTTAATCTTTAGCTTTTTTCAGCGACAATACCATGTAATGTTAAGGTACTGGTTGACTACTAACCTTTAATTTCTTCCTTAGATATTTTAATTTTAATCTAGAATTAAAAAAGGAGGAAAGAATTTGGAGCTCTTACTTGGCTCAGGTTATGCATAATTTGGATTTTGCCAGCAGAAAATGTATGATTTAGAGCAATTTAGCACCAGTTTGTCTGCAACTGTGCTTCTAAATTTCAACAGCAGACTGCAGTGTAGTGAAAGATTACCTATATTATTTTTAGTGGACTAGCTTGACTGCTGGAGAAGTTTAATTGTAACTGCCTAGGGCTCCAAGGGATCTAATTTACTCTGCTAGATAGCATGCAAAATTAGTTTGGGTGGCGCTAGTGCGTGTTGGCTGTTTCCAGTGTATGAGGTAGCTCAATTAAAACTAGCATCAATATCCCTATATTATACTGCTTTGCATAGTGAATACGGTTTCTAAGTTAACAGCACAGCTACTTTCTTTATCCACATAGAGGCTGCATACAGTTTTCGATAGCTCGCTGACTTTTTCCTAACGTTGCTTAACCCTGTGTTTTCGTACCACCTTGACTTTTAACTTTAAAGATTACTTTGTAATTAGTTTCTTTTCCAAAAAGATTACTGTTCATTAAATCATATTGAAGGCCTCATTTTTATTTATTTGTTTTTGTGGTCATAATTCTATATAGAGCTCTGACAGAGGTATGGTTTTATCTGTAGTGCTCAGTGTGAACTTACGACCCAGTTTTTCAACACTTGAATTTTTTTTTAATTAACTGGATGTGCATAAGCATGTACAGAATCTCTACGTTTTGCCTTTGTGCCCATGCAAAATAATCATTGTGTAACTGAAACATCTATTTTATACTTTTTTCGAATAAAAATGTGAAAAACATGACATGCTATATGTTTTTCAAAAGCTAAGCCTAAATCTGATCTCCAAAGTCCATTTAGACTTAAAAACAAAGCTGTCTTCAAAAGTCATAACTGTCTTTGATTTTAGGAGTAGAAATCGTAAGTGCAGCAGTTCTTTAAAATGAGCCTACTCGTTGTTTTCTTAAGAATCTCAAATGAACTGAAAAACCTACTTTCAGATGTTTTTTCATCTTGGTACAAGTTCAAGTACTAATTCCTTTGAGAGAGAGGATTCACAGAGCTACCAGTGTGCATAGGTGGTTTGGGATGAAAGCTACAGTGAAATAAGGGCTCTTGTATCGTACAGCGTTATTCCTTGGAGTATGGAACACCCCAGAAATTGTTTCACCTTTTTTTAAACAATTGTAGTGGTCTGAAGGAGACTCCTATGCCCACCAAATTCCTGAAATAGAACATTATAAAGTTGAATCTGCATTAATCAGTAGAAGTTTGTAGAATATTTACTTTTCAGTGTGTGATCTCTTTATGGAAAAATACATATATATTCCGTCTAGTTTTTTTTGTCTGTCGTCTTTTTGGAATTTTCTGTATGATAAAAAGGGAATAGAAATTGAAAAGGTACTTTCCCATGCTGCTGTGAATTTAGTGATATGTGTATCACTATTTAGTGTATCAAGAATGCAGCTTGTGGAAATAGTTTCAGTTATTTTGTAGTGTGTATCTGTGGACACAGTATATTTTAAGAATTCTTGTTATTAATGTTATCATTTTTGTTCTGAATTTGTTTTATACTTGTCAGTAAAGCTGACTTAGAAATCCTAGCGACCACAGTTACTGCACATAAACTATTGATAATCAGATTGAATATTTTTCCTTAAAATAGTTCTAAAATGAAGGCAAGCACCTGCAAAGAGAGCGTACCAAGGGACTGTCAGTAGCTGAAAAAAGCAATAGTTTTAACTATAAAGTGGAAAAAAAAACAAATAGTTGGAGAGAAATTTTTGGAAGTTCTGGTGACATATAGAAACAGTTACCTATTGATACATGTGAATTGATTCAGAAAGATTCTGATTGCTTGGTATTATTGAAATATATATTTCAATAATTTGCACCTATAGATTTAATATGAGTAACTTACTTTTAGAAGTTATTTATTATTATTTTATCTGTAATTTAATGCTTGTATTTTTAGGTAAAATTTGGAAATACGACATTTAAGACAGATGTGTATCCCAAATCACTAAATCCTCAGTGGAATTCTGAATGGTTTAAATTTGAAGTAAGTATTCTTTAAGTGATCACCTGTATGTACGTAGACACTCTGGTTTAGATGCCCTTAATGAATTAACTTTGTTTCAGGGAGAAAATGTGAATTTTGAGAAGTGAGGCTATTTTTGTTTAAATACACATGAAATATTTTCAGGAAACTTGCCTAAAGTTAGACTTTGTTTGCTAAAGCTGTCTCATGGGCTTTTTTAGGGCTGTTTGTGTAGATAAAAACTTACCAGATTGGACGCAACTCAAGTAGAATACTGGGTAATACGAGAAAAGATAGTGGTACGAATGGGAAAAAAGCATTACCCCTTAGGCTTTTGGATATCAGTATGGATATGTTTTAAAGGAGTAATTTAGAGTAAGGAAAGTTAAGTGATATTCGGAATATGGTTGGAATATTTAGAATATGTGGTTAGGAAAATAGTGTATTTAACAGAGGAAAATGGACAAATTAATTTAAAAATTTACACAATAAAGATTTAGGGCAACATTTATCAACACCTTCTTTTCCCTTTTTCTTGCATAATATTAGGGCTTGACATTTTCCTGTAATTACTTTTTCCTTTCCAGAGGCTGATTGGTTGATTTTTAATGAACTGAATACAGAAGTATCATAGTTGCCCTTTGACATTCTGCCCTGAACAAGTATTTACTTTTTTTTACCCCTTCTGTGAAGGGTAAAATCCAAAATCAGTGAACGCATTGTTTAGATGCAGGAAATAAAAAAAAATTATAGATTTATCTGTGTCATGTTTCTGTATATAAGTAATTCATACATTTTTACATTTGTTTTGCAACAGTGTTTCTTTCTATATCTATGTGTGTGTGTGTGTGTGTATACATGTATATATGTTTATTCAAATTTCATGTCAACATTTGTTTCTAGGTAGATGATGAAGAACTACAAGATGAACCTCTCCAGATCACAGTTCTTGATCATGATACGTACAGTGCTAATGATGCCATTGGCAAAGTGTACATAGATATTGATCCTTTGCTCTATAGTGAAGCGGCCACTGTTATATCGGGATGGTTTCCCATTTATGATACTATCCATGGTAAGGCTTGCTAATTTAAAAGTAAAACAATGTCGTTTGAGATGTTCATTTTTTTAAGCTGTCTTCAGAAATCTGTAATAATATAGCCTTGATAGGTAGAATGCTACCTTTTTGGTGCTTTTCTCCTTATTAGATTGCATTAGAATGCAATTTAAAAATCCATGACAAATTATACTTCTGGGAGACTTTTCCTTTTCTGTTTTAATAGCAGTTGAATAGGAACGATGTCTAAAATTTCTGGCATAAGAATTCAGGAGTTTAGAATAATGCTTTGCAGAATGCTTTTCACAGAACTTGTGGCAAATGGAAAAAGTCTTCACGTGGTATTTAAAATAGTTACTGCAAATCCCAAAACATATTTTTCTGATTACCCTGTGTTTACTTAAAGAGTATACTTTTCCTGAAGTCACTTGAGGTGTTCCCCTATGGTATGCTGGACAAGCTTCATGTGAGATGAAGAGATAGGAAGTGACAAATCTTGAGTATAAAGTACAGCATGAAACTCCTTTTCCCTTAAGAAAGTACTCGCAGCCCTAGGTAGAATTCTTCAAAATATCTTGAAGGTATGAGAAGGGGAAGTCGGTGATACTTTGGATGTTAATAAAGCTGAGCTTTTATCCCAGAAAGTCAAGATCAGTTCATAGCAAGTTAGCTTCTGGAGCACCTTATTACAGAACATCTGTTTGACTATAATAAACACCACAGTTTATTAACCAGTAGAAACTCAATGACTTAACTATATTAAAAGCTGATTAGAAATTATTGGTGGGAAAGCACTAATGAAATTTACTATATGGTCATCATAAATATAAAAATATTTTGAATCTGTTTTAACAGTTATATTGAAAGTTTTTTGGGGAAGTCCTGCATGCATTTTTTTTTTTTTTACTTTATTCACATTTTCTTATCATATGATTTATTCTTATCATATATTTTCTTTTAAACTAGATGAACACTGTATTATCTTACAATATGTAAAACATATATCAGAGAGAAACTAAATTTCTGTATATTTTTCTAGATCTGCTAGCATTTCTCAGCTTCTCCTCTCTTTAAATGAAAAAAGAATTCTTCTACTTTCATGTTCACATCAGTAGATTCTAATTACCTTGATTTTTGACAGGCAGTAGCTGACACTTTTGTTAAAAATAAATCTGCACAATGCTTATAAATTTTTATTTTGAAAAAGAAAAAAGGTCTTTTGCACTTTACCGTGGTTGTGTGTGAAAATACATGAACCTGATGTAGTTCCTGTTATAGTAAATTAATGCTTCTTTCTACTGATGTTTTAGAAGATAAAGCTAGGTGACTTTATTGCAGTAACATAAGAGACAATCATCAAAGCAAATACTCGTTTGCTTTTTTTTTTTCTATTGCGTATCAGATATTTAGGTGATAAAGACCTCTGAAGTCACCAGAGATCAGACTCATCAAGAAGCTTAGTCCTCAATATGTCAGAGTCTATAAGAACGTGACTTGAAATGTTTTTTGTTACTGGATGGGGGAAAAAGGAGAAAGAGCTCAGAATAGAAACATAATACAATCAAAAGGTCTGACTGTATTTGGAAGAAATATTTATTTACTGAAAAGATTTAATTATGGTCAAAAATTAAACTTTTCGAAAAAGTCTGTTATACCTTTATATATTTCTTCTCATGGACAAAGTATTTTGTAACCATCTACTGTGCCTGCTCTGTGATACTCAAAAGAACCTTAAATTTTTTCATTCGAATGAACTGCAGAGAGCAGCTTTACTGTGATCTCAAAACCATTTTGAGGGAGAAAATATGAAAACTTTGTGATGTTGACTAGAGCTTTTTGATGTGCACAGGACTCCAGTTCAAGGCACCTACAATACCCTAAGCACAAAAGGGCTGAGGTCATCTTGGCACAATGCCCGAGCCTTTGGATACCAGTTTTATACCCTTCCTGTATTGATGATGCAGGGCAAGAGAGCCGTAAGAAAAATGGCTCACGGCAGCAGGGGCCACTACTATAGCAGGAGGCTGATGGCTTATCTTTTCTCAGTCCCCTCCTTCTTCTCAAATCCTGTTCAGGGCAGCAGGTATTTGAGGAACGTTCCTTGCAGGCCTTCAGCCTCAAAGGCAGTTCTTGCCTTGAAGGCAGTTGGCAGAACTAGAAGCTTCCTTTCATTTCTTATGAGAGGAGGTCTCTGTAATAGACCTGAGAGGTAAGGAAATCCTGCTCCTCTGGCCTGGGCTAGAATTGACATGTGAAATGCCAATTGAATCAGGCTGCTCTAGCAGGAACATACGTTCTGTGGAGAAAAAATTGGTAATAGAAAGTTCATTAGTTACTAATAATACAAAAGAATTGGGAGAGTTAGTTTTGCATTGATTTCTGGTACAACTTCTCATTTTTCTTTTTTTTTTTTTTTTATTTATAGGTATACGTGGGGAGATCAATGTCGTGGTGAAAGTAGATCTCTTCAATGATTTGAACAGATTTAGGCAGTCATCCTGTGGAGTCAAATTTTTTTGCAGTAAGTAGAGGAAAAAAGTTTGAACAGGAAGCTTTTGTTTTTTTTTCTTCTTTTCTTCCTTTCCTATTCTGTCAGTTTCTCTCTTCTCACCAGCCTACTGCATAGGCCCAGGACAGATTACATTGAAGCCAATTACATTGAAAGTGGGTGGGGTTTTTTGTTTTTAATTTGGTTTCTACTCTTTCGATCTCAAAAAATGTAGATAACTGATTTTTTCTTACCTTTCTGGAGTTGCATTTCAGTGCATGATGATATGCGCATTAAGTTACTTTGGGTATATGTTCTGTTCAAGAGGCTCAAGTGAAAAGGTTTCATAGTGGTGCATATTGAAACAAAGTTGTAACTGATACACTGGACAGTTATCTTATCAGCGTTCCAGGGTCTCCCAGATCAAAACTGCTTAGGTATGTCTGGATTCTGATGGAAAGAAGATTGTATGATTGCTTTCTGAAATCATTCACATTACTTTTTAGGTGTAATTTTAATTTTTTCTTTGAATTCTCGTCTCTTTGACTCATGCCTTACATCCTTATCCTTTTTTAACAGCTACATCTATTCCCAAGTGTTACAGAGCAGTAATAATTCATGGATTTGTGGAAGAACTTGTGGTTAATGAAGACCCAGAATACCAGTGGATAGACCGAATTCGTACACCGCGGGCATCAAATGAGGCTAGACAAAGACTCATTTCACTAATGTCAGGTATTAAACATGTAGGCTATAGTTGTGATTGCTACTAATTTAAAACATCCACCTTTTAAATGAATTGTTTATGGTGAGATTGTATATGAATTTTTTATGTATTAATTATGTGTATTTTTTCAGTTCACAAACTGTGATCTATTTCTGAAGATTCTCTGTCTTAACTGATGGGTCAGTGTTGCTGACTCTTTTTTTGCCTTGATGAGACCATGCTGCCACTTACTTAATCTGTTGGTTGTTTTTAGCAAGGTCAAGGAAATCTGTGGAGCTCTCCTAAAGATGTACTTTTTAACCCATCTGAGGCGTGTTACTAGAATTTTACTCGTAATAAGTAAGGCAATATAAACAACTCCACCGTCCTTTGCACTACTTGGAATATGTGACCAAACATATGTAAGCACCATCTCAGATTCGATATAGTAGAACTTACTCATCCCCTCTTTTCAGAGTCAAGACTGGTTCATTGCTTCTCAAGCTTACTTCTGTATTGCCTTGCATTGATTCTGTAGAGCAGATCTGTAATTTTTAAAGAGGCCAGTTATTAGAATTCCAGTTGGTATCAAATGGTACACAGAGTTCTTAGTATTGCTGTAACTTTTATGAACAGCAGTTGTGAACAAAGATCTCACTGTTTCAGGTGCAAATAGAGCAGAACAAAAGGCCCCTACACTAGAGGACTTATGAAGAAGCTAAGAGACAACCAGTTGATAGAGGTGGACAGTGCTGAAGGTGTAAGGAATACAAGGAAATAAGGAAATGATGAAATAGCCATTGGAATGATAGGCAGTGTTTTCAGCTAACTAATGGGTTCTTTATATTGTCAGGTTTCTTGTAGGTGTTATCTATGTTTTAAGGAAGATACTGAAAGTAAAAGAATATTGGACTTTGAGGACATGTATGGAGATCTTTAATTAGCGAGGCAACATAAAAGAGAGCGTGGAGATGTTACTTGGTGTTAGATACCTTCACTGGGAGGAAGACAGCACGTTTTGGGGAAAATTGGAAAATCAGTATTGTCATAAATGATATGAGTTAGCTTTTAGAGAGCTGCTGATATAGCTCTTCTGGTCTGTTAGTTTGTAGTGTTAACATTTGTAATGTTAATACAAATGTTAATACAAAGATCTTTTGTCTTCCATAAATGGTGAAAATGGATAAAATAGCACACATGAAAACGTTCTGTTTTTTTTTTTTAATTTATTATTAATGATGATTTTAGTCATGGCAGCAATTTAAAAAAAAAACCAGCTCGCAGTACTCTTTCATAGCATGTAATGCTTCACATGGCAATCATTGTTACTGGTGACTACTTGTGAAGAAATCTGCAACTTTCTGAGAATGATTGGGTAAGCGGGGAGCCAGTCTTCCATTGCTATGGAGTCTGGGAAGGAGCATTGTTCCATGATGTCTGTGCTGAGATGCATGACTTAAAACATGTTCACAGACTGCTTTATAGATCTCTCTGTCATGTTATGTGTTGTATACTTAGAATTCGGTTCTGACCTTGGCTTACGTGAAATGCATGGCAATTTTCAGCTCCATTCACTCAACTAGAAACTTTCGTACTCTACCACCTTAAACATTTTTCAAGACCAGTACATGCATAATTTTAGCCTGCAGTTAAGTATCTTGCAATAGGACTGTTGTTCCAGTAAGAATAAAAACATGCTTTTGGAATGCACTAATGATAATTTCATTCCACTTAATAACTTAACATCATCGATATTGAGACTGTTAGGCTATCCTCTGCGATAATGAAGCTTTTTCTGAGTTTGCTAAAGAGGATTTGGGAAATCCTTCATTTCCATCAAAAAAGAAATGATATTTTGCACCTAATATATTAAGACTTGTCTAACTGCATGGATCAATGAACTTTTAGCTTTTTTTTTTTTAACATCTTGCTAGGTAAGCATCGGTGGAAGGCTATTGTCTGTCTTATAGTCACAGTTTTGCAGTCTCTCTTGTGTGCTGATAATAAAGAAGAAGTGGAAAAATAGTAGGAATGTGTTGGGTGTCATATTTTGTTCATATATGAGATTACCGTTTTAAGCAACTTGAATGAAAAAAGAATTAAAAGCATGGGTTTAGGTTGAACTATGCTCAAGTTTTAAGAACTTTTAAATGAAAAAAATAATAGATGACTTTCCATATTGATTTGGAAGATACTTCATTGGTCTGAACCATATGAAGGAGTATTTAGAAATTTCTTTGTGTTCCAACACACGTCTTGACCATGACTTTCTCTCCCTTTAAATAAATAGAAAAAGGAAAAAATAATGAAACTAGGAAGCAGAAAGAACATTTCTGAAAAAAATATGTTGTTGTTGCAATTAGAATGGGTTTGAAAACAGAAAGCTGTGCAACTAATCAGCATTACATAGAGTAAATAGAAAGCAGAGGTTGTGACCAGATACTTGGCATAATTATGTAAAATTGAATCGATTAGCAGTTTTATTGACTCTTATTTCAAAAGCAGAGAGGAGAAAGACCACAAAATGATAAAGGGATAGTAGTTTACTACAATTATGAGCGCTTTACCTTCTGTTTTATAGGTGAACTGCAAAGGAAGATTGGCTTGAAGGTACTTGAAATGAGAGGAAATGCTGTTGTTGGTTATTTGCAGTGTTTTGATTTGGAGGGCGAGTCTGGACTAGTAGTACGAGCCATAGGAACAGCCTGTACCTTGGATAAATTAAGTAACACATCAACATTCTTACCTGCATGTAACTCCCCATCCAAAGAAATGAAGGAGTAAGTATGAATTAATAGTTTGTAGAGGAACAAGTTTCATCTCTCTTCTTTTCATACTCATTTGGTTTTACATAACCAGTGTGATTTTTTTTTTTTTCCCCAGAATTTGTTTTTCTTTTGTAGTTTTATTTTCTGCAACTCAGTTTCTATTCCACAACTTTGACATATTTTAAGTGGGATTACTTATGCTATTTAGAAGTTGCAATGGTAAACCTTAATATGACAACGTAACTTTTTTCTGTTTGCACAGCAGAGGTATTGCTCATTCCTAGGTTGTGATCCGCCAGTTTATTAGCTAATAACGAGTTCTGCCTTTACTCTGTGTTTGTATAATAAACATTTTTGTTTGTGAGGACTTCTTATGAAATACCTTCTGTATGAGACTTTACAGTTTTGGTACTATCATGTTTGACTGTTTATGCTGAGCATTTAAGAAAAGATATGTTTACATTTAAATTCAGACAGTTCAGTGGTTTAGAGAATGACCCTGAAGTATTATCATCTTTTCTTGTGTGCTTTGCTTCTTACCATTACAAAATAACAAAAATGGGGCTAGAGTGTGCTTGCACAGAAAACTTTGCCTGATGAGAAACAGAATTTCGTGGTCTCTCTTATACCTACAGCAGCACCAAATACAATTTGAATACATAATGTGTACAGAAATAAACAGGTAAATGCTTTCAGTCTCTAAATTGTTATTACGTTGTTGCTTGGAGAAATCAGTTATTTTTTATTTGATAGAGATCGCCAATGTCTAGATGGAAAAAACAAAATGAAAAAGTATACTGCTTGTGTAGTGTTTCCAGAGGTATTATTTTAATTAGTCAACTTTATTAACTTAAACTGTTGTATCATTAAGGCAATAATCAGACGCTTTTGTAGCTCAGGGAGCAGTATGCTCTGACTTCTCTAAATTACTGATTTCTATTTCAAATCATATACTTGCTTAATTTACCTTGATTCTAAAAATCTGCCATTAAAAGAGCTTCTGGATACAGTGCAGCATAAATATCACAGCGGGGATAAAGTATGAAGTGGACCTGGTAATCACCAACCTAAAAAGCATTCCTAAATCAGTAGCACTAACTCTGGAGCGAAATGTGGAAATTCTCCTCCACCACCCAAATTATCCATGTTCAGCAACTTGGTGGTGGTTATTGATAGAATCATTGTCCTTCTGCCCAAAAAGTGAGAATGTATCTCAAAGCCAGCAAAGTCAACTAACACTTACTATTATTGGCTTTACTAACTTGATGTCCTATTGCCAAAGAAACAATTATATATTTAGAAGTTAGTGCTTAAGCTGTTCTCTCTTTCGATCTCTCTCTCTCTCTCTCTCTCTCTCTCTCTCTCTCTCTCTCTCTTTTTCTCTGTTTCATCTGGACTCTTGCATGCTAGGAGTTACAGTTCTTAGAGTCTACTTAAAATAAGAGATCTCCTCTAGCTAAACCTCCCTGAAATCATTTATAACATAACTTTGCAACCTGTTGTATGTATTGTTTTCTTTTCTTCCACCTTGGCTGCAAATTCTCTCAGGTCTCCGCTGGTTCATCCGCCAAGCCATGGATGCCGCTCGACTCACAACAGCCCAATTCACACTGCTACTGGCTCACGACTTACTCAGAACTTCTCTGTGTCTGTTCCCACTCTCATCTACACTGGTACGAGACTGCTCAGACTCAGGAGCTGGGGAGAGGCAGGCCACAGGCACAGTGGTCGCAAAGTGCAGGCAGGCAGGCAGTGTAGGCAGGTACCACCCATCTTTTCTCCTTCATTTTCTCATGGAGGCTCCTTCTTTTGTCAGTGAAGAACTACTGTATTCAGCTGCTGAAACAAAGGCAATAGTTTCTTGGAAATGAGTATATCCTCACAGTCTCTTCCACAAAGCCACGCTCTTCATTTATGTTTAATATCCTGCTTACTAAAAATACCTGTTTAAAAAGTTGGTAAATTTGGATAACATTCATTATTTTTGCAGCCACTGAGCAAAATGTTTGGATTGGAGTTCAGAATTGTTTTAATCTTAATTCAGATATGGTACTTAAGTTTTGAAGTGCTTATAGGAAGGGTATGTGCCACTTGTGGAAGAGACAGTTCTGGAGAGCAGGTAAGTCAGTCTGTGCATAAGTGAACTCTTTGTCGATATAGTTGTTCCCATAAAGGGTTTCCTCTTTGCTGTTTTTAGCTGTGGCATGCTGCTGATGCTATAGGATAAGGAAACTTTTTTTAAAAAATATATATATGTGTGTATATACATAAATGTATGAATATGTATAAACACAAATATAATTTGAGATCGTTATTTTCTTTATTAAATTAACTCAAAGCATTGTGCATTTGATCGGATTTTTAAGCCATGAAGTGTTTTTAATTTTCTCTTTCGCATATATATAATTTTTTTTGTCACATCTCATGCCTTCCATTTGGCTTAATTGTTTCATTGTAGATTTTCAGCATTTAGCCATACAATGCTGACTGGGTAAACAGCATTTCTTTGCCGTTGGCCTCATCCCCAGTCTCGCACTTAAGGAATAGCTGCTGGCCCTGCCCCAATCCCATCCTGGTGTTTGGATCATGCTGCTGTCAGCCGGGTCCTTTGGCACAGGATTACTGAATATGTTTCCACCTTCTTCTGGCAGGATTCCCTTCAATGAAGATCCCAATCCCAATACTCATTCATCAGGACCCTCCACCCCTCTGAAAAACCAAACCTATTCCTTTTCACCTTCCAAGTCCTACAGTCGACAGTCCTCTTCTTCTGACACAGATTTGAGTTTGACACCCAAAACTGGTAAGGCGCTTCCACCCGCTTTTTGGTTAATTTGTGTTTCTCTTTTTATATTTTCGTTTGATTCCCTTTTTGCTTTTTGGCATTTAAGTTATCAGTGATGTGGAAACTGGAGACTTCAGATAGCACAACCAGAGCTTTCAAGGCTTTCTGTAGGTGATAATTTATGACAGGTCTGTATGTCCACTATTATGGAGAACATTAAATGACATTTGTAACACAACTGTATCCAAGCTGAAATATGACATTGCAAAGCATTAAGGGAGTCCTAAGCAATTGTCTCTTTCTTATTTCCTCCACTTCATATTGCAAATTATGGGAATACATTTCTCACCGTAATATGTTAAGAGGGAGAGGGATCTTACTAATATTATGTAACCTTCAAGCCTAATTTATTATACTGTAAGTGTACCTTTCTATACATATGTCTGTGATGTTTTTTTTAACCCCTTTTTGCAAATGTGATATTAGAAATGTCTACAGCTGCTGTCTGTTTAATTTCCTTGGTATATGGAATGGCTTTAAGTACACAATATACATTTTGAAAGTAACTTAAATTATACTCAAAACATCTTCTGAAAGCATTTTCCTTATCCATTGATTTATCATTTTTCGGCTTACTTTTTTCCTTCTCCCCTCCTTTTTTTTTTTTAAATCTGTGGTTTGAGTCATGTCAGTGATAATGTCAGCACAGCTCAAAAGAGTTGTATTCTGCTTATTTTCTGTCATGTACTCAGTGCCTTGAGTTTTTCCACTCTGGGGCAAAATATGTTGTAATATTGTTTATAAAAGTTTGCTTGCTTCTTAAATGGTGTTTTAAATTGTGGTATATGAAGCTCAGAATATTCCTATCTCCATCTTTTCCTGACAATTTTAAAGTATATTAAATATTAAATTTGATTCTGATAACTTTACCTGACAACATCTTTCAAGAGTATTTCCAAGAAGATAAGTTAAATGTTGCATTTCGATGCAATTATATTTTATCCTACTGAAAAACGTCCCTAGTTAGGAAGCTGCCTATCTCAGTACTGTCTTCTCTGTCCTCTTTTAGAAAAAAAGAAAAAAAAATACACTTTTTTTTCTTTTTGTGTAGTTGATGACTATTGTGTGAATAACCTATGGTGGTCATGTGTTTAAAGGATGTAAAATTAAAACTGGATGCTTATAGGGACTCCGTGAATGTATACGTTTGTTTTACTTAATACTTGAAAACATGTTTCTTTTATTTGACCAGATTTTCATGGTAAGAATCCAGCACTGTAAAGTATTTAAATGCAATGTAAATGGTATCTCTAAATCTAAAGGTCCTGAAGTGGTGAAGTTAGCAACTCAATTAATTTGTGAAGTTTTGAAGCAGCAACATTGCATCGTTACTTGCAATGTTATCTAGGTTGATGGGCCCCCTCACTTGTAGTCAGTTCATTCAGAGACTTTGAAACAGTTTGTGTAATCAGTGCCTCTTATTTTAGGAGTTTTCAGATACATAGAGAAAGCAGAGCTATTTTTTAAGCTATCTTCTAAATATTAAAGCTAACAGTGGATGAACTTTTGCTTACTAGCACTGTCCTTTAGCAGCTTTTAACTGTGTTGCTGAAACTTGTTTTAAGAGGTTTTTCTGGCTACGTTTAAAATTTTTGTACCTCAGTGTTACGTATTAAATTTTGAATCTTGAATTCCTTGAAAGAATAGTATCTCCAAGAGTAGTTTTTCCACCTTTTACCTAAAATTTGATGATGTACAGAAGATGTTTCCATTACATATTAGATTCAGTATGTCCTGAACCTGAGAAAAAACTTCTTCACTGTGAGGGTGACAGAGCATTGGAACAGGTTGCCCAGAGAGGTGGTGGAGTCTCCTTCGCTGGAGATATTCAAAACCCATCTGGATGTGATCCTGGGCAATATGCTCTAGGTGACCCTGCTTGAGCAGGGAGGTTGGACTGGATGATCTCCAGAGGTCCCTTCCAACCTAAACGATTCTGTGATTCTGTTACTTTTAATAATTCAGTGTATTCATTTAGCCCTCTGTTTTCACTCCTTAAGACTAAGTTGGAATATCTCCATGTGAAAGTTGGTTATGTTAGTTTAAAGCTTTAAAGTGTATCAAACTTCCAATGTGACAGACAAAACATTATCAAATTTGAGGTTCAGATTAGCTGAAAAGCTGAATATTTCCTGTTTGTTTGTTTGTTTTTTGTTTTGTTTTTCAGTACACAATATTCCTCTTCATTTTTTTGTCAGGTAGCTATTATATTCACATGCTCATGAGATGGAGACTAAGCCAGAAAAAGAGCACAGATACCACAATTTCATAATATGAGTAACTAAATAGAAGAAACTGAAATTTGAATCTACTTAAGCATTTTGTCTTTAGTAGCTCCAAATCAGGAGAATATGACCTTAATTTCTTCTATAAAATTCAGTTGTGATTGCATTATTCGTTCTGGTCTACATCTGGTCTAAATTTGAGGCAAAATTTTTCTGTGCTGAAAAAGCTTGTTTTGGTTTGGAGTTAGATTTCTTCTGTGAATATTGATATATTTTATGCCACTACAAACTAAGAGAAATACCAGACTGACCAAAAAAAAAAAGCATTACAGATTTTAATAAGGTAATACATTTTGATGTGAGGTAGTATATGTGTGGAGGAAATTGAGAAGATGGGAACTCCTTTTTTTTTTTATATGTGAATTTATAATTCTGTGGGATTGAAGACTCTAAAAAACATAACTGAAATCCATTATTTTTTTCTAGAAAAGAGAACTTTTTACATCTAATTAAGGAAAATAATCAGGTTAAGTGTATGAGAAGAGTATACTATTTAACTTTTATTCCATAGTATTTATTTTAAAATTTTGTATAAAATCTAAAATATATGTTAACTTACCATGGCTTTTTAATAAAATTAATAAACTTCAAAACAGCTGCTTCATGATTTTTGATAGCGTGCTTCTCATTCACGTTGTGGAGCTGTATTGTCATTCCATTTCTTCGTATGTTGAGAAATAATTTACCAAAAAGTGCTGGTTCATTTGTTTTTTGTTTTTTTTTTTTTTTTTGCATTTGCTTCATTTTGGTTTCTTCCTTCTGTTTCTTTAGTCATCTTCTGAATCTACATCTTTTTGTCTCTGTTACTTTCCTCCACAGCACCTTCCCCACAGGGACCTAGGATTTTCCTGTTTCCCAGCTCCCCTACACTCTCTTGTGATTCCCCACATCTTAAAAAGTCCTGTCTTCTCCTCTCGGGGTCTAGCCTTTACCCTCTACACTCTAGCCATGTCAGCCCTGTTGCTCTGAGGAAAAGTGTTTCTTTCACTGAAGAGCTGCTTCTGGCTGCTTCTGGTAGGATCAATCTGTTATGGCCTTTTAAGCAAACTTTTAAGAAAATGTTATTATTTGAGGGGGCATTTAACACACAGCCTTCTATAACCCTATTTTTTTGGTAAATTAGCCTCTGAAGACTGCTGGCTACATGACTGTTCATACTGCCTGTCACCTGTGCCCCAGAGGCTTGTAGCAGCTTCTGAACTACTTGTCTTACAGGAGTTGAAACAAATACATAGTTTATCCTACTGAACTTTCTCACCTCCATCTCAAAATTTCTTTTCATATTGGTAATTGTACTAACATAACTCTTTTTTTCTTTTTTCCCCATTCCCTTCAGTTTATTGTTCTTATATTTTGCATGGAACAAGCACTTGCTCGTTATTCATTCATAATTTATTGAAATCTGGCCATCAGATGGCTAGCAAGTCTGCTCTTTAAATTAATGTATTTCAAACTGAGTCCAAACAAACTTTGTATTTGTACTACCTCCTTATCCATTTCACTAACATGCATTATTTTCATAGGTTTAAATTAACTAGTTGATACTACTGCTTTTTTCCTACAGAAACTGTTTTGATTTTTTTTGTTTGCTTTGTATCCAGTATTTATGCCATACTTGTCTGTATTTAATATTGTATAGTCCCTGAAAATGATATTCAGAATCAATACCAAATAATAGAATCTAATTTAATCCTGTTTAATTGGACTACACAGATGCTAATTTTTTGTTTCCTTATCCAAGAACAGCTAAAAATATTTTATAACAGTCACAATATTTGTATATATTTATATATGGCAATGATAGTCTAGTCATTTTTGAAAATGTTAGAAATGAACTAACATAGATCAAGTCCGGTTTTATTTCCAGTTAGCCCTGTGTTTGGTTAAAAACAAACAAATGCATTCCTGTATACATGCAAAATCTCACTCAGGTTTATTAGATGCTTGATCAGAAGAGCAAGGAAACTAGCAAGGAACTGTTATGTTAAATTAGTTATTTCTGTAAAAATCTTTGTTTTCATTTATAACTGTTTACATTGTGGTGTGTCTGTATTACATCTTGCTCCTAACACTTTTTTTTTTTTCTGATTCTTTGTTCTTTGCTTTTCTTAGTGCTTTCTTAAATAACTTAAGTGTTTGTTTTTGCTTTGTCAAATTAGCACTAATGGTTTGAGATACGAGAAATACCAATGATAGTATGTTTTTAGGCATGAAATACTTTCCAGAAAATCTGGTTCACCAGTATTGTGTTTGTTTTAGCAAAAACACAATTTTGGTATGTGTTTTTTTATTATTTTTTATTTTTGTGATTTGTTACCATAGAGAAATACTATATTGTCATACATATAACGTGCATCTCACCACACTCACTTGAAAGTACAGTTCCTTGATAACAAATCCTTCTATAGCAAATATGATTGTATATCTGATGAACTTCCCAGCTCTTCAGAGAAATCTCCTGTATTGGGGGAAGGAGTAAAAGATGTGAAAGAAAGGGAGAAGACAGATGGTAGAAGTACTGGGAATAGGGTAGGAAGATCAGAGACGGGATAAAAATCCCCCCATATTACCCATATTATTCTAAATCGGCGTTAATTTCTTGTTTTTATTTACAGATACCCTACAGGTTATATGTGTGAAAATATAGTAATCAAATAATTGTGACAGTTTTAAATGCTTAGCAATAGTCCTTAGCTGATCTGAATGAAACAAATGAGTGATTATTTCATAGCATGGATGTTAAAGAAAATAAATATAATTAATTTTTTTTGAATTTACATTTCAAATCAAAAGATGCACGTTGCTTTTGCAATTTTCTCTTTAGTCCCAATCATGCAGTATAAAGCTGCTACTGAAATTACGTGTACAGCCTTCCCCCAGTGATTAGAAAAAGGATTTAGATGCTCTGAAACCCTTGGAAAGACAGATTTTTTTTTTTTTTAAATTGATAATGCGGGTAGAGAGAGATACCTAACTATAGAAGAATTTGACTAAGAGGGGTTGTTCAGCAGTGTGGAGTCTAATGGTGACCTGCAACCCTTTTTCATAAGGACTGAAACTCCTAATATACCTATTGTATAGGAACTTCCTGTGAGAACAGAGAATGTGGATCTATATTTATATATATTGAAATCATAGGCAAAAATTCCCAATAGTGGCAGAAAAAAAAAATCAAGCTATATGTCATAAGTAAGAACTGCAAGCTCAAGTCTCTAACGTTTTATATTGAAGTTTTTTACTTCACATTGGTAACACAAAAAGATCTTGGATCAGGATTTTTTTTTTGAGCCACTCCGTTAAGTTTAACAGCAGTATTAGTTATGTTTTTTTAAAAAAAAAATCTTAAACTGTGGTGCTCAGCATTTTCATTCCAAAACTTAAAGTTTTTGATAGTTTGACTGTTTTCCATCATGATTTAATATATCTTTAAATCCACGTTTGATACAGATTATAACATATGTTTCTTTGGATGTTATTTGTACTGATACTCTTCAGGAATGGGCAGTGGGAGTGCTGGAAAAGAAGGGGGGCCATTTAAAACTCTTTTAAGACAACAGACTCAGTCAGCTCTGGAACAAAGGGTAAGGCATACATGAACTGTTTTATACTTATATTTCTGATATACTGAAGTGGAAATTTAGCTTTTAGTAAGGAAAATCTTTCTTGTTAGGTTATTTGAAAAATAGGCCTAACTTTTATGTCTGCATATGTTGAACGTTTAATAGCCTTTTTGATATACAAATGATACTGTATTTTAATATATTACTAAAGTGTTAAGAAAAGAGTGGAGCAAATAGTGTAATGTTCACAGCACTCAAATGATTTTAGCTGGTGGTGTAAGAAACAGTCATATCAAAAATTATTGTCATTTAGTCTCTGTAAATTACTGATGCACGTGCCAGTTCAGTACTTTACCAGCTTGTATTTAATTAAATTTTATAGAATTCAAACTGAGAAATATTACAGTAGCTTTAAGCAAGGTGAAAATTCCATTTATAGTTGAGAAAACTTTTAGTTTTGAAAAAATAAAATTGGTAGCATAATTTAGCCTAGATTCTATTACATTAAATGATGTTCATATAGACTACATGTGGCTAAAAAACATCGATTCCCAAGCAATAAAAGGGTTTTAAAGGGTTACAGATTTTAGAAGAACCTCTGCGAGACTAAGAAACATCATTTATTATTATGTCGTCAATCTACAGTGCACAATAAAAACGGTAGTGTTCGTTTTGGAATGTTTTCTTTTTTTAATATATAATACATTGCTGTGGTCAAAATGTTGTGTTATTAGTGAAGTCTGTTGAAGGAAGAAGTTTGGATGTCTTACCCTGTGGAAATAAATTTTAATTTAATAAGAATTTCTGTCTATCTGAACTACTTACTTAGAACCATATGCATTTTTGAAAACAAAATCAGCTGCATCTGTGAAATATAAGTGAATAGCTATTACTTTGAGTAAGTGGATGATTCTCTTTTTATTTTTTGTTATCCGTTGCTAAGGGAGGATCGCCTCATAGGTTCTGTAGAAGGCGGGTATGTTCCTAAACATTATGTGACCTTTTTGTAGCCCTTTTTTCTTGTATTGAGGATTTCTAATTTTTGAACAATCATTTGAAATTTTTTAATTTCTTCTTTATAAGGATTTGATAGATTTCTTGGCAGTCTTGTTCATACAGGGTTTTTATATTTTTGTTCCGCCTTTTTTTGACCATTTATCAAATTGGCATATTTTGTCATAACTAATATTTTGCATGTTTGTACATTTCAATTAAGATTTTAATTTCTCTTTAAATAGAAATCCATGACTTTTTGCTTTTAATGCTTTAATTTTAAAATAAGCTAACACTTTAAAAGATCCTTTTCTCTGTACCCTTGTTTCTGCTAGCATTTTAGTCATTTCATGGGAAATCTGTTATTTCTTTAGAAAACTTTTTAAAAATATGTAAAAAAAATTGTAAAGTAAGAACACAAGGTATTTTTAGAATTTGAATGATTTGCATCTTGTTTTGTTAAGACTCTATATTGCAAAGTGAAGAAAATATGATAAAAAGGGATGGAAACATGTTGGACACATTATTAATGATAGCATAATGATGTCATTGCAAAGCATGACTGTAATTGTCAGTATGAAAAATGTCATAATGCCTTTCTGGAAATGTCATGTTGGATGTTTCTTTTGCTACAGTTACCCTTCTTTCAGTTACTTAACTAGAATGAATAACAAGGATGCAGGGAGAGAGACATTTACCTCAAAATGTCTTTGGACCTGATAAGATAACTTGTCCATTTTAATATTATGGACATAAGTAGTACACATTAAGTATCTGTCTGTATTAGGGTTGCATTTGTTTAGGAAAACATTAGAAGGAATAAATTTGAGATGTATATTATCTTTTCACATATTTTAGAAATATAGTAAGTTCTTTTGAGGCTTATGTCCAGATTATTTGGGTATATCATACTGTTATGACATTGAAAAATGGTTCCTTTAACTGGACATCCCCTTAGCTTTTTTTTTTTTTAATTGTGTACAGTTTTAGTATACCACTTAATTGCATACCACGACAGATTTTGCTGAAGGGGTAATCTTGCTAATTTTTTCCTGGGAAAATACACCAGCCTTGGAAAACTCATATGCACATTAGATATTACATTAATAATATTTTCAGCAATTCACAATATGCATGTTGATAGTTGTACTATAGCACAGCTGTCTTGGACTATATCTTTAGCTATAAATATATTTATTATATCTCTGTCATTGGGCAAATTTGAGCTTATTTTAATGGTAAAAAATTAGCCTTATGTTTTTGTATAAATGTCCAAGTGCTGCTCTTAATTGTGTTTTGTATCTCTGTTGACCTCAGCTTGGACAAATGCTGTTATTTTTCCATGTTTGCATCCTGCAAGTGCTTGAGACAGTCTTTACTGCTTCCTTTTCAAAATGTAGATGCGTTGATCTCCATCTGTGATGCTAGAGAGCTGTTGTGTCAGAATGCAGTTCTGTATACGATTCTTTTGGCTGAAACGCTGACTTAAGCAACTCTTCTTTCCAGCGACTTCTTATCACTAATGAGTCCATCCTCTCAGTTCAGTTGGAAAAACAATTATGGAATTGTTTGGCCACCCCATGAGATGGTTCAGTGAATGTGTTATGAATAAAAATAATTCAACCAGAAAATTAACAGTATTTTAATATGGATCACTTTCTTGTTCGGTTCACCTCGTAAGGCTTTATTGACATATCTGAGTATTGTGAGCATTATCTGAGGGAGCGGAACAGTGATGGGAACGAATGACTGGTTAGATGGCAGACTGAGAACTGCTTAAGCTGGCACTAACACCAAAAGAAATGTGTGTGTAGCCTTGTTCCATGTGCTTTTCCATTATTTTGTGTGTATTTGTATAAAGTGCAATTAAAAAAAGAATACTAGCAATACATGTATGTGTAAACACAAACCCTTTTAAGTATTGTATTAAGCAAATATTACAATGACTTTATTGCAGCCTTGCCAAACCTTCTCCAAATGGCAGTTGTAACATCTCTGTGTCGTTGCAAGAATTAAATCAGTGGCATAGTTCTTTCAGAATCTGTGCAGTCAATGACTCTGAGATGGTGTAGTGAACTGGCATTGGTAAAATAATTGAGTTTTCAGTGGCACGTTTTTAAAATTCACATTGTCCTGTCTTCTGAAATAGAGGGATTATTTTGTGCTTTATCTGATTTAAAGGTAGTCCATTGCAAAGTGCAGGAATAGAGGAAAATTATAGCACGGAAATACTGCATCTGGTTCTTAGGGATTCTGTTTTCCATGCAATAAGTATGGCTCTAAAATTTTGAGGTATTACGGAGTACCTCACATACCTGAGGATGGAACTTTTATTTACAAATAATAAAAAATATCTGAATGATTAAAAAAAGGGAAAAGGGAAGCCGCACTGTGGTATCCATCATACAAAGTGACAGCATTCCCTCTGTGTGAGAATGAATGAGACATTCTTAATGGAATAAGAGCAGTGGTTCAGTGAGACAGTTATCTCTCTGCATTTGCTTATGTGACTGAAATTAATCTGATAGAGTACAGATCTAACTTAAGCATATATCATAATATAGACTTGCAATTATCTTTATGACTGAGTATATTGGTTAGGACAAAACCATGTTTATTACTTTAATATTTTATTTGTGGTTTGTAGTGTAGGAAATGCAGGCAAATTGGAAGTTTGACTATATTAAAATTACTTTCAGTACACAACCTTACAAAGACGCATTAAAAGCAGAAGTAATTTCTGAATTTCGAGATAGATTAAAAAGCATGACATTTGCTTATTTAGAGCATGGAGTATCTTTTGCTTTGATGGTCATTGCATATTGCTTTAGCGTAGTATAAATACATATATATGTGCTTGTATATAAATGTAGCATAGGCTTAATATAATTTAATATAACTTAACATTGCATAGGCAGTAAACATTTTCTATTGATGTCTGTAGTTTTAGGAAAGCTAATTATTAATTTTTAGTGTCATTAATGTGGCATAACTGTATTCAGGGGACTGAGCAAACATCTATGTTAACTTAAGGTGAGTGTTATGGAATTACACAGGGAAAAACATATATACTTGTGAATCTCTTAGAGCTTGATTTATAAAGCCAGAATGAAAGAGGACTCTAACAGAGTGATGATATACTGGGATTTTCTTTGGGGGGGGTGGGGGGGGGTGCATGAGACACATGCAGAGAGAAAGCCCTGTGTTGTAGTCAGGACGTTCTGGCTGCTCTGGTAATCTGCAAAGCACTTGGATCTGGTGGAACCTTCTGGTGGCTTCTTTTCCCTAGTCCTCTCTAGAGATCTTTCTGTGCTCCTGAAGACAGATTAGCCAAGCAGGTTTGCAGAGTCCTATGGTGAAATCTTCTTGCTTTTTAATTGCTTCATAAGGCACGACTGCAGTAATTTTTTATTATTTGTTTTTTGCTTATAGTTGTCCTTACTATTGTTGCTAATTTCAAAGTTTGCCTCTCAATTTTTTTTAAGTCTGGAAACCAAATGAAAATCCAACAAAATTTGTGACAAAGTTTTTGTAGGGCATTGTGAGAGTTCTAATAACCTTTCGGGTTATAATAGTTCTGAAGGTGTGTGTGTGTGTGAGTTTGTTTTTTTTTTTTCTTTTTTAAATCTATACTGAACTTTAGTTTGTAAAGAGGGTTTTTTATGTCATGTATTGCTGGAAGAACTGTGATCATCTCTGCAGCAAGTAGGTAGAAGCTCAATTGAATGATACTGTTGCAAGTGCCCTAAGTATGTGAGAAAGGAATCCATTCTGCGCTTTCTCCCATATAAAATTACAGTGTTTATTTTTTCCATTTATCCAGTTGTCATAACTGTACCAACCCTGAATGCATGATTTTTTTTTTTTTTGGCCCTGTGCATTTAGAATTGGCAAACATAAATCTATTGCCTTTCCCCCATAAGTATGCTGTAATATATATATTAGACAGTTAATAGAACATCTCTGTAGAAATGCAAAATACAGTCTCCCAATTTTGGGCCCACTTCCTTTGAATATGAGGAGTTTATCTCACCATGTATGTCCTGAGAAAGGACTGTTATTTTTTACTCTGTTTCTTTGATGAACTACATTTTTGGATGGTTGCTGAAACTTGAGTATTAATTTTCCAATTTTATTAAGGGCTGGTAAAATTCATTTAGGAAAGTGAAATTGGAGGTGAATTTCCTCAATTTTATTAAGAACTTAAAATCATGCTTTATTCTAGAAGATGGATATTTACTGGTTACGTTTAGAGCTTGCGACACTAGCAGATCAGTGTGCTGACATTTTTTAGGTATGCTTTTATGTAATAAGGCATAATTCTTGCAAAATTACAGTTAATTTTACACTGTTCTTCAGGATCAGACTACCCTTAGCTGTAACAGTTAGCCCTAGAAAATGTAGAAAAATGTTATTTTATTTTGTATCAGCTAATGGGAGTAAAATTATTTTGTTTAGCCGCTATGTTAAAAATGGACTGATTGAGGCTTTGTTAATGGTAGCATATAGGATTTAGATTATTAATTACTGTCCTATTGAGCTGCAAATCTATGGGGGAAAAGTATTCTTACGTTGTAGAATACTTCTGCTTTTATTACATTGTGTTGAGTAAGTGAAGACATGTGGCTACATACTGCTCAGTAAGCCTGAAGGACGTTTGGCTTCGTGTAACTGCTTTGCTTGAATTTCAAGGAAATTTTCAATTCACTGCATGTTTTTTGGCAGTCAGGAGGTTTTTTTTTTTTTTTTTTTAAGCAATCATTTGATGTTTGTTTTTAATCATAACAGGAATTTCCATTTTTTACCTTGACGGCCTTTCCACCAGGCTTCCTCGTCCATGTTGGTGGTGTAGTCAGTGCACGTTCTGTGAAGCTCTTGGATCGCATTCATAATCCTGGTATGTTAACACAAGAAATTTTTCTCAAGTCAAGTCTTATCACGTTGTCCCTGTATTTCTAATCTTTGAAACTTTATTGAAATATGTATATATTATAAAAACCTATGCTAACAGTGTATGTTGAAGACGGTATTTTTCAGACAAGCATTTCAGCTTGAAAAATACTAATCTTTCAGAGAGTATGTTTTTAGTAAGAAACTTTCCAGTAAGTTAATGAGAATAAAATACTTTGAATCTAGTAACTTTGCACCAAAAATTATCTTTGAATTATCAAGAGGTTGATTATTTTTTGACCACTTCTTAATTTTAAAATTTGATGCAAGATTTCCCTTAAAACAGAAGTAACATGAAATACTTGATCTTAACTATAAATATTTTTCTAATTTTCAGCTCCTTGCAATACCTAAGGACTAAGCACTGCAGTTTAGCTCAATACTTGTTTATAAACTCATTTGCAAAAAAACCTTTTTGACTTTGTTTCTATTTGTATTTAATAATATATACAGAACACTGCTTTAAGATTTTTATTTAGTTTTTACTTGGAAACTCCAGTACTGAAACATGCATGTCCTAGTTCTAACATTAACTGATTTGTGACTCTGAAAACCTTATTATATTTATTGGAACAAGTGATGAGGGATACTTTCTAAAAAGTCAGAGTTAATTAGTGCTCTTAAAACATGGACAGATGAGAGAAAATAAAATGTAGCACCTGTAGTGGTTTTGCATGCACTAGCCAGGAGTAATAAAGTTTGTGCAAATGCATCTTTTTAGAAAACTATTATTTTAATTTTTTTCAATTTATTTCTTCTTCCTGCGACTCAAGGCAAGCAGTTCTGCAAACAGTTAAGTTGTTGTTGATCTAAAGACTCAATAAACTGACAGAGAACATGGAATAAAATCCCGGACTTAATTCAAGAAAAGTACTTTAGGGAATTTTTAAAACGTCTCAATACATAGCATTATTGTTTTTTTCCTAATTCTGAACTTTTATTCTTGACCCTGTCATGAAGAGAAGATTAACAGAAATGTCAAAACATAATTCGTGTGTGTCCTCTGTTTCTCTGCCACAAAGTCCTCTTAAGGTTTCTGTATTTTGCCATGAATCTGACACAGGTAACTTATACTAAGTTTATTATATTGTAAATTTATTTAAGACAAAATTAAAAAGACGACAGTTATGCTCAGAAGTTTTCCAGAATAATTTCTTGCATTATGCGCTGCTTTGTTTTTACCAACTGACTGAAAGCAAGATAATAGAGATGTGTATGCATATTTGCACAATTAAGTGGCTCTTTGCAGCATTTTAGTAGAATTTTTAGATTGCTCCTGACAAGTGAATGTAAGATGCATGATACTTCAAACTCAGTATATTGCAAAACAGTAAAAAAAAAACAAAACAAAACAAAACAACAAAGGAGAATGAAGGGTCATGGTTATGGGATGGAAGAGGAAGAAGTGGGAAAAACATTCTAGTATAGCGATGATCTTATTAAGCAATTGAGTCAAGTCTGTAAAATGTTAAAGGAAACAAACTGACAAGTAAATAAACAGGAAAATGTAGAGAAGGAAAGAACATTTAAAGGGGTTGTTTGGAAATCAGTGAGTAATACAATAATTGCTATATACTGTACACTTTGATCACGCCTAGTGCTAGTTTGCTATAGCATGTTCCTTTTTCCCTTTCTATTTCAGCCTCTTATTAATTCTGCTGTCTGTGTCTTTCCAGTTCCTGTGGAGTGGTGTTGTCAATTGTGTTCTTGTTGGTAGTTTTTTTTTTCACTATTCTGCTCCTATAACTGATCTACTAATTTGCTGTTTTGAACTCAGCCTTTGTCGGAATTATGGGTAACACAAGATCATACAAACTGCTAGACTGGAATAGTTTCAATTCAGGTATTTTACTAGTCATTCAGTACTACATATGCTGACAGAAATTATGGCAGCTCAGTGAAGTTCTTAGAAATGCTGTAGAATATAGGTTAATACATCAAATTTAAATCTGTTTAACCATCGAATGCTTCAGTCTCCTATTTGTTTTAATGTTTCTGAAGGCTTCCTTTAAAATTGCAAAACATTATTTTAATATAAAATAGCATTGTTAAGAATTATTTAATATCAATCTGGAAAGCTGAATATTCGGAAGATTATTTCTTAGTAGATTTCAGCTCAGTGTCTGCAAAACAAATAATTTAGGAAAAGAGAATAGAGCCTATTTGGTATAAAAAAAAAAAGCATCATGTCAGCTGTTTGGGGTTTTTTTTTTTTTTTCTTTCCTATGAGCTTACACTTTTTTCAGTAACGGCTATACTTCTGATAACTTCAGGAAATCGATTAATGTGCTTATTCTAAATAACAGACATAAAGACAGATGGAGAGAACAAAAAAGAGACCAAGAGAGCAATCTATTTGAAAGAAAAGAGTGGTATATGTAGTCCGGGGTGTCTTAGTTCATAAATCCTGTATTGTAAAATGCATTCAGCTTGCAGGAGTTCCATCTTATTATTTGAACTTTTGAATCACTTTAAAACCTAACTCGAAAAAGCCCCAATGTTCTATTTCTATACAGTTTTAGGGACCAAAGTGTGTAACTTCTGTATACAGCCACAGAGAAAACGGAAGAGTTGATGGTGCAGTCTACATAAGTTATAGAGTACTGGCCTCTTCGGGGGGGGGAAAAATAAAAGCAATTTTTTTTTCCTTTCCCTCTGGAAACATAAGGAACCTTGGAAGAAACAAAGACTAACTTCTCTACATAGAATAGGAAGCCAGCAGAGCTTGCCAACTGCTGATGTTTTTAAAGCTGGCCCAGTGAAAGGATGTAAAGGTGACCTCTAGGGGTTTGTTTCCTCCAGAAACAATTTATTTCCTGTTGCTTCACTGCTGCAATGCGTCTGTGTATCGTTTGTCTCTGAAAGTGGCACAGTCATTCTCTAAACTTCAGCTTAAATTGTCCCTATGCGTTTTCCAGTTTACAAATAGTTTAGTCACTGGTAATACCTGAAACTATAGGCTCATTTTTATATCCTTACTCTTCTCTGTTGGTCTTGGACCAACATTATAGTTTTGAGGTTTTATGCTTTTTGTGGTTTTTATTTGCTTTTCTAAATTTTATTATAATCTTTTACATTTATTTTTGCTTTCTATGTAAGAATAGTAGTACGAAATTCGCAGATTACTGGTGTAGCATAGCCTGTTCCAAGATATTAAATGAAGAATTTTTGCATCTTGTATGGTACTTTGAAAAGTTTGACTTAATTGTTGCTTTGTTGAGCTAGTGTTTAGGAGGATGCTACCATGGAAAAAATTTTGTTAGAATAATTGAGTAAATGAATTGTGTGCAGACACTACACATATATTGACCTAGGCTAGAAAGTGATTCAGAAATGTGAGCCACAGAAAGCTGAGGAGAAATTGTGCATTCATTCCTTGACACGTTATCCGAGGCAGTAACCTAAATTGTTTAGAGATAAACAGGAAGAAGAATGCACATCTATATCATGCGCAGTTATACCCAGAGATGGTTGTTATACAGAACTTCTGGAGTAAAAAGGCCTCAATCAAATACTAATTTCAGCGTTAATACCCTTTTAAGAACTGTCTGTGTGTCTCTTGCCCATTGTAGACAATCCTGCTGCTCCTTCCACGTGTGTCAGGAGCTTTCTAGTAACAGTTTTGGTATTTATCCTGCTGGGCAGGGACTAAGTAGGGCGTGCTCATATGCCTGGAAGTATGTTTCTTTTGCAGTGGTAGGTGTGTTGCTATATCGAGAAAAAAGGAGGAGGGCAGTAGATCTGTCACCATATATGACCTGTGTTGGATTGTAGTTTTTGTAATAGAAGCTATTCCAGTCCTTAGATTGGAATAAGGACTATGCTGTCAGGTCTATTACCATTGAAAAGTCCAAGCAGATTTCTCTTCATCTCTTCCCACTAGAGCTTTCTTGCCAGCTCTGTTACGTGCCAGCTAATACTTGGCCTGTAAGAAAACAGGGATGTGTACAGTTTAAGGAAAATAATACTGTATCGTTCATCTTAGCAAGGCTGTGTTCCCAGCCATAAATAGGCTAAAATTATTTTCCTTTTTGAAAGCGTTCAGGTTTCATTTGTGTTTGTTGACAAACTTGTGTGACATCTAAAGATAATGTTTTGATCTTTTTTTCTTTTTTTCTTTTTTTTAACCTTTGTCAAGTGGACATACTTAATGGAGTGCATAAGTAAGACCAGGACCATCTGATGGTGGTGAAAAAGTGCGAAGAGTAAACTGTGATTTGAGGATGCCAGAAAATCGAATGCCGAAGTAGAGACTAACTTTATTTGGTGGAGAAGGGAAGAGAATAGACAGAAAAGAAACTGCTTAAACTTCTGGAATTGCTTTCAATGACAAAGAGTTTGATGACAAATTTTTTAAATGTTTGTATAATGAAATTATGAAAAAGATGATGGTCAAGAAGAATCTGCAAGAGTAGATAGTCAAGAGCTCAAATTCATAGAAAAGAGGAAACATAATACAGTGGAAGAAATGCTATGGCCCTGTCTCTGAAAAAGGCTGTTAAAGATGTACTCTTAAGTATAAAAACCTGAAAGGAGTTCTGGATCCAGGAGACTGGACCTTTGTTAAAGTCTAATCTTGAGATTAAACGTAGGGAAGGAAGGTTACTTTGCAGTGTAAGGAACTTGTGGAATAGAGGCTGCTTTTGCTTATGACTGTTTCATAACAATAACATATATGGTGTTGTTACATAATTATGTTTTTAACCTCTTCATTCAGGGAGCTGCTCCAACAATAACTCTTTAGCTCCAGTAGTCAAGAAATATGGAATGAGAAAAGATTGTTAATAAAATTCCCTGAGCTCCTTGTTTGATGCCCTAGTACTTCAAGTGCAGAATTCTCCAGTACTCTAGTTTTGTTTATGAAGAAATAGAAGAGGAAAGCCTGAATACATTTTGGTTCTATAACTGAATGCTTTTCTTTCACAGAAATGCAAACTTACACTGAATGTGCAAATTAAACTTTCTGTTACTACCTGGGACATGACAGTGGTGTACTTGAAAGAATGCAATAGAAGATGTGAGAATGTTCTCAGTAGCGTCTAATGTGGCTATCGTTCAGAACTAGCAGAAAATGCAAAATTTTAAGCCTGATCTCTAGCCTTTCATTGAAAAATGTCCAAAGTCACCTTTTAATATCTCAATGTGGATTGATATTGTAATGGAATATTAAGGGAGGTGTCAGAGTGTTGTCTGAATGCAGTGAGGCATAATGAAAGTTTTAGGGTGCTTGACTGGATCCTTAGCTTGTCATGGTTTATTAGTATGTGATTTTTTTCCAGTGGTATTTTATTCTATTTTTCAGCAGACATCCCAGAGGACTAGATATTCCCTTTCCATTTTTATGGTTAATGTGAATGATCTTTGAATATTTTTGTTTTTGTTTTGAAGTAGATGCACCCTTAAATTAATGAAAACTTCGTTTTTTGGTTGCTGTGCATTATTTTCCATTGAGGAAGTTTTAAGTAGATGTTTATATAACTAGGCAAATGATTATTGTTAGTGAGTGTAGAACAGTATTCATACATTTCATTAGGAATTCATAAATTAATAAACTTAGCATTTAAAGTCTTTTATTTTAAAATTCTTTGCCTAATAATTCTATTTAGTCTGTTTAATTGAAAAATCTCCCTAAAATTTGACAAATGGTGTGAGAACTATCATAGACTCGTATTGCTGAACAAAAGCTCCAATAAAGCTGTTGCTTATTCCATTGCTGCAGTTTCTTTTTGAATAGTTAGTACATAAGAGAAGGAACCTTGATCTTGCAGAATATTGTTATTTTTGCATGTTACTTCTCCTAATTTCAGAATATGGGGCTCTACTACAACCATTTTGTTGATATAATTTCCTTCACATACTTCAATGAGTTTGAGTCAGCCTTACGATCTGTCACTCGGATGTACAGAGGTAATTGTAGTAATTTTGATGTGGCCCAAGGTATACTGTTGTGTTGAAAGAGAACTAGAATGATGCCAGTGGAAGGGGCACATTCCTAAGTACTAAGGAAATACAGGTAATTGTGTAGTTGTAAAATGTTTGCTGATGAAATTTTAGAAAACTGAAATTTAAGTGGCAGATCACACAAGCTCTAATTGACCTTCACAGCGTTGTAGAATTAACTTTAATGGATAAGGTCCATTATCTGATCCATTATCTTCTGTGTTAAGTCTGTCTGCCTTATTTTTGTTTTACCTGTTTTTTTTCTTGATCAGATTATTATATATAATGTAAGCATATTCTTATTCAGCTTTATGAAGTAATTTCTTCAATACCCCATGTTTCTCATCAAGAAATACCATAATTAAAATGAATTTTTTTCTGGTTTGATTTATTGGTAGGATTCAACTAGACAGTGCAATTTCTTTAACCTTTTGCAGTAATATTTTCAGTGTTTTTTTTTTTTTAAAGGATTTGAGTTCTTCTGTTTCTTGTAATATGCTTTTGTAGAGGTCCTGAACTCACTTCAAAGGGACCTGAAGGAAAGGCTCCTATTAATTAGTTATTGGATCCAGGAGTTTAGAGAGGCTTCTCTGACTGACTGGTTTGTCTGAAAACAAAATAGAGTTGTGACTGTATAGAAATAGCGTATATGCAAAGGCTGTGTGAACGTAACAGATACAAAGCCTGAGGAGCGTAAACATAAATAGGAAATGCAGAGGCAGTATAAATTCCTCCCTACTGAATTCATCTCATTTTCTTATATAGTGAGATAGCTTGGCCCTTTCTTGCTGACTGTGTGCGAAGTATCTTGTCTGTGAACATCTGTGTTTGATGTTGAAAAGAAGAATCCTTTTGTGTTTGAAATTCTCTGTTTCTTCCAAGAATTGTTAGATCTAATAATAT